CTGTTGTAGATGTTTGTTTTTTAGAATATTGTTTGGTATTTTTCTGGTTCCATAATGGCAAAACCCTTTGCTGAAAGGAGTACTTGCGGGGGGCAAGGGGAGGGACTTCTGGTGGCAAAGGTCAGAGGTTGGGGGTGGGACTTCCAGTCACAAGATGGTGACTAGGGGCAGGACACCTTTCAAGGGGTGAGGCTATCCATGTGGCCCTTGACAGCTTGCCAAAACTTGGTAAGTGGCCCTCTGCCCAAAATAATTCCCTGCCCTGATTCATGGAGATCCTGGGATTGCAAAGCAGTGTCAGCTGGGGTTGGGGCAGAGCTGTGATCTGCTGCCTGAACATGCCTGTGACGTGGAGGGAGCAGATTGCAGCTGTTCCCCGGGCCCTGGCCCCACGCTGTCACTGCCCCATAATACTGGGGTCTCCATGGAAACCAGCCATGATCTGCACAGGTGGGGCATGCAGCTAAGTGGATGGTAGGGTCCAGGATCTTGGGGCAGCGACAGCTTGGGGGCAGGGCCTGGAGCTGGGCTGCGATCCACTCCCTGCACACCCCTGTCCGTCAAACCCACACCTGCTGCAGTCATACAAGCAGTGGATCACAGCTCTGCACCGGGCCCTGCCCCTGCTCGGTCATTGCTCCATGATCCCAGCCTTGCCTGCTTGTCCTGCTCTTGAACACTGCTCCCCACCTGTCCATGGCTCCATCCCACATTGGGAGTTTTGGTGAGCTGTTGTGGGTAGGGGGTGCTGACCCAGCCCACGACAGCTCAGCAAAACTCCCTGTGTGGCCCACGGAATTGCCCACTCCTGCTCTATATTATAGAGTACAGGAGATGTACTTCATGCTTTTCTTTTACTTGTCAGCAAGAGATACATGTAGCATAAAGAACTCCCCAGTCCATCCGTTACAATGTGCATCAGTGTTGCTTGGGGGTAAAGCCAATAAGATGGTATCTGAATAGAGAGTTGCTCATTCTTTCAAACAAGGCCTGGTCCATTCAAGTTGGCACTAGCCTTTCTGCTATTTTCAGGGAGTATAGGTCCTTACAGAATAAAGTTTGCTCATAAGAAACATCACACATCAGATATGTATGAAATGATGAATGTCTCTACAATCTCAGGTTTCCCCTCTCCTTTTCATTAAAACATTAGGTGCTGGCCCTGATTAAAGTCAGAGCATTAACTATTACAGCCCAAATAGTCTAGAAAGCCAAGCAGTACATTTTTGATACAAGCATGTCTATCTTCAAGTCTCTGTTTTGTGCTTCTATTGTTACCAGACGCCACCACCTAAAAGTCAATAGTATCTCCCTGGGACCAGTGGGAATCGCAGCTGAGAATTAAAAAAAACAACAAACAAAAAACAAACAAACTTGTTTACCTGATAGGGGGCTCATTTACATGAGACACTTTACTGCACAGCAAACCAATTTGCTGCGCAGTAAAGTGTCATTGTCTACAAATATGTGGCAATCAGAGTGCAGTAGACTAATTTACTGCACTGCCAGATAGTCTGATCAGATACAAATAGTATCTGGCAGTTAAACGCACACATAGACAGAAACGTCAGGATTAGTTTACTTCCAGTCCCTATTGTTTTTGCCTATATGTAGCTACTGTAGAAATTGTAATCCAACAATTAGACTGTTGGTGTTTAAGGAAGTGAGGTACAAATTCATCTTCAGCTTTCATAGATTTCATAGACGTTGATTAGGGGCTGGAAGGGACCTCACAAGATCATCAAGTCCAGCGCCCCCACCATAGGCAGGAAGTCTGCTGGGGTCAAATGATCCCAGTGAGATATGCATCCAAATGTCTTTTCAATGAGTCCAAAGTAGGTGCTTGCACCACCTCTGTGGGGAGTTTGTTTCAGATCCTAGACATTCGGACTGTAAAGAAGTTTTTTCTTATGTCCAGTCTAAATCAGCCTTCCAGAAGTTTGTGGTGTTAGTCCTAGTTATCCCTTGGGGAGCCCTGGTGAACAACTGTTCTCCCAGATCCTGGTGCATCCCCCTTATATACTTACAGGCTGCCACCAAGTGCCCCCTGAGCCTTTTCTTCTCCAGGCTGAAGAGTCCCATGTCCCTCAGCCTCTCCTCATACAGCTTGCTCTCTTGGCCTTTGATCATGCAGGTAGCTCTCCTTTGGATCTCTCAATCTTATCCATGTCCCTCCTGAAGTGGGGGAACCAAAACTGGACCCTGTTTTTGCTTCAGATGCATAGGTAGATGCATACCAGAGTTTGATTTGCTTTTTCTGGCTATGGGTTGCATTGGTGGCTCATGTTCAACTTGTGGTCGATCTCTTTCAAATTCTCCCCCAAGTCTCTTTCGATCGTGGTGCTAGTGAGTGGAACACTGCCGAGCCTATAAGTATGATGCTGTTTTTTCCTCCCAAGGTGGAACACTCTACACTTCTCTACGTTAAATGCCATCAGGTTTTGGTTCACCCACCTTGTGAGCCTGTCCAGGTCAGCCTGTATCCCCAGCCTTCCCCCATAGTTTAGTGTCATCTGCAAACTTTTCCAGTCCACATCCGATGCCCAAATCCAGATCATTTATGAAGATACTGAAGAGTACTGGCCTGAGTACTGAGCCCTGAGGGATACCACTGGTCACCCTGCGTCAAGTTGATTTGCTCCCATCAACTAATACTCTTTGGGTCTGACCCCAGAGCTAGTTACCCAGTTCTCAGACTGTGAGATGGTCGAGGCTGCAAGTTCTCCAGCTTAGGCATGAGGACATTGTGGGAGACCAAGTCATGGAACAAAAAAAAAATTAAAGCCAAATGCAGCTCTAGGTATTTATGATTGTAACAGGTCGCCCTCCCCAGCGCCATCTTCCCTGTTATCCACGCCTTACGTGGGGTGCCCTTGAAGTCCCCTTTAAGGTTCTTGTGTCCCACTCTCTACTCTCCTGCCACGTCTTGATGGAAATTATTATACTGATGTTCTTGTAAGTGGGAGACTGCCTATTGTATTTCGTATGCCGGGGTCTTCCGCCTCCACTGACCTTCACCCCCATCTTTCTCTAGCTAGGCCTCCCTGTCTAAACCCACTAAACAGGGTTCAACTCTGAGGCACTACCCTTGTCTTGAGGCTTGTGGCCCTCCTTTCTCCTCCAATCTGAAGCCTGGCCTAGAGGCCTGGCCACTGGCCCCACAAGTTCAAGGCCAGGGAATGGCCCTGATCTCACACTGTCCCAGTCCAAAAAAACCCCCAAAATCACACCTCAGGTGCACCAGACCACTCTGGCCTTTTAGGATCGCACCCTCTGGCGCTGGGGTCTGTACACCCTAAAATCCTGTGCCCACACTGGCACCAGGGCCAGTGCACCCCAAATCCTGTGCTCACACTGGTGCCGAGTCCCCACGCTGTAGTGGGGTCCCAATGAGGCCTCCTCCTTCCCCAATAGCCTCGCCCAAACCACCGGTCTTATTCAATAACAAAAAAAAATATGAACAGTCCTGTCCATGGGCAATAACCACCACCAAGAGAAAATGTGATTACAGAAGGCAGCCGGCGTACATTTACACAGGGGTTCGTGCTTCAGCTCCCCACCATCAGCTACAGTCCTTCTGGGGTTGCTAGTCTCTCAGGGGTCCTCCGTAGTTCCCTTCCTCAAGCTTTTGGACTGCTTACCAAGCCTCCCCGTGGAGCTCTGGGACGCACTCCTTCCCCTTTGGCTGTGGGCCCCTACTGTTGCCCAGCCCAGGGTTTTTATAGTCCTGGCCTGCCCCCTTTTGGTCACCTGACTAGCTGGCCAGGCTCATCTTTTAACCCCACCTTACCTGCATGTTGTGCCCAGAAATTTCCAGCTTTAAAGGGGCTGACCTGTCTTCTGGTAACAGGGCTAGGGTTCCCTGTTACAATGACTCGCTGCTTTAGGCTCACTGTCTACAGCCTCGTGCCCTCCTGTGCTAACTCGCGCATCAGGCCCAGAGTGCACCTGTATGCACACTGTAAACAAGGTTGAGGTCGTGTAGCTTTAAAGAGGGAAAGAAAATCATTAGAGATGTAACTGCTAAGAACTTGCATCTTCAGGGGTATAAAAAATGTATTGGGTATTTTTATGTACTTGGTAAATGTAGCAGGATTTTTTATTGTAGCTGTGTTGGTCTAAGGACATAGGTAGGCAGGCTTCTTTGGGTAGATGTGATATCTTTTAAATTAGACCAACTGAGAAGTTGGAAAAAAGTTATTTGCAAGCTTTCGGGCACAAGCACCCTTCTTCAGGCATAGGGAGCCTCTGCTGTTCTGAGATCTCCAAGGAATAAAAGAAGTTAAAAGTGTGACAGGAGTTCAATGAGAATGTAAATAGGTGGAAATTAGGAAAACAATGGGTAGAGAAGGCAGGGAAGGGGGGGAAAGAGGGGGAAATAATGCCAAAGGTAAGCAAGGGAGACTGCTGTAGCTGAGTTTTCCAAGGCCTGTGAGGCAGTCTGTGAAAAAGTAAATAGATGAAAATTAGGAAGACAAAGGGTAGAGAAGGAGGGGAGGAATGGATAGGGGGTGTATATGCTAAGATCAGGCAGGTACCTGGTGAATCAGATGTCATGCAGGTTGTAATGTATCATAAATCCAATGTCTAATTGAGTCCATGATTTTTTGTATCCAGTAGATTTACAAAGTGAAGTTCGTAGGCTTGTCTACAAAAGATGTTTTGTAAGTTCCCTTTAAAGATTAGAACTGAGAGATCAGAGAGGGAGTGATTGTCTTGCAAGAAGTGGGTACCCATCCAAAGACAAAGAACATTTTGTCTTTGATGGATTCATATGAAAAATATCCAATTACCTGTGGGTGTTGAAGAAATAATCCAAATATTAGAGGTAACATTTCTACCTCTCAAAATGGGGTATCTGTGTAAAGCTTCTTGCAGGTTCCTAACTGCAATTTGTATCCTTGAAATTCAGTTAGGTAACGAAACAAATACATCAAATTACAACTAACAGGAATTCTTAAAAAAAAAAATCCAATCCCCCCAAAACTGATAGCCTTAAATGCATGTTTAAACCTCTTTATTGTGTAAAATTTGATTGCAACATACTTTCACATGGACTTCTTTCTCAAACAAAAACCATAAAAGTAAGAACACTTTACTTATGTTTTAATCTACAGCTCTTCAACATGAAAACAAGTACTGATAGATGCTTCTTAGGCCTCAGTCTTGTTTGATTTGAATTGCTCCTGTACTTAACGATAAGTACATGTGTAAGTACCATACGGGATTAGGACCCTTTTTGCGCACAATATTAACTTGCAATTCAGTTTCACAGGCAGCTATAACAGTAAGTTACCATTTCAACTTTGGTTCAATCACATTTTAGCTACTTAAAATAAAAAAGAACAAAACAAACATTAACTTTTATTTTAAAGATGCTTTACTTTCACATCTCTCTCCTACAATGCATTCTTATTTAGTAATGTTTCTCCCCTAACTTGTTTTAACATTTAGGGAATTTTACTATTTAGACATTAAATGCAACACCTACAATTTAGCTTCAGAAAAATTACAGTCCCCCTGGAAAAACACGCTATTTACTTTCCCTGCTGCTTCAGCCATAAGCATCGAGACTGAGAGCACCTCACCCTTCTTAAAATATGAAATATCTGCATCTAGTTAAACTGCTTGCTCATTACTTCTCTAAGCATGTAACACTTTTACTGGGTGCATCTACACAAGATGCTGACTGTGCAGTAGCTTAATAATACTGCACAGTAGTGCATCACAGCACACAGTAGTAATACACTACTACACGGTATTATTAGGCTACTGTACAGTAGCATCACTTAAAAACATTCACCAGCACTACTGTGTCGTAATTTGGGTTACTGCACATTTATTTAGTACTTGTTAATACAAGTACTAAATAAATACGTAGTAACGACTGCGCAGCAGCATCTCGCGTAGACATGTTCACTGTGTGCTTACTCTCATGCACAAGGGGCTCGTAACTTAGCTGCTGCTGTCTTCTTGACACACCTGCTGCTTTGATATACTATTAGCACAGGCTTTGGAATCCTTCAATATATAATTATTAATTTTGTGCCACTACTGGATCTGTACATCAGAAAAGTTAGTAAGGGCAGCTTTTGTATTTCATTTCTGATCAGCATTCTAAAGTATTAATAGGCCCAAGAACCTCCAACTACACAAGTTAAGTCAAAGGGGGAAATTCACCATGTGCATTGTTTGGTTTAAAATATGTTATAAAAGTTGCAAAATGTTATCTAAAATATCAACCAAGACAGCTGTTTCATCTATCAGACTGCAGTTAAACACAGAACCTCTCAAATAGCTGTGATTTGAAAAAGAATATAGACTGCAAATAGAATGAGGTATACAAATCAGAAACTGATAGGTGACCTTAATTAACATTTAAGAAATACCATCATCTATTTCTTAACGGTTTACTCAGAAGACTGTAAGAAAACACCACACTCATATGGCCAGAGATAACTAGAGTAAAAGGCTAAAAAGGCAAAGGATATAAGTTTAAATGTTCAACACAGATCAAAGTTGTGTGCTTGTGCAGTAATACAGAATTTGGCTCTTGCTGTTTGTGTAAGTCATGGGTATATTTTTCTAAGTTGTGTGAATTCCTTCAAAAAAAGGGAGCCAATAACCCTAAAACCAGTGCTCAGCCATTGTGGAAAAAACTTTACGTTTCCTTCTGGACTGCAGCCTTCTGATTTCTTATGCTGGAATCTTGTAAACAAAAACCCAAGTAGAAAGCAAGGCAGGGTGGCACCTTAGGGCCCTGACAGATGTTAACCTGTTAATCACATCATAAATAGTAACAGTACCACATCTTAAAGCCAATTTATGGTGTGGTAATATAGTCAATGCTCCACAAATATGTTCAACATATTGTGTGCCACATTTTTTTGGCTGGTGTATAACTCCTTAAATTGAATGTGTGGCATGCTGGGGCTGTCCCATGCTGACTCCTGATGCTCAGCTGAGGTTCAGGGTCTGGCATGGAGCCGTCCCAGGATCCAGGACCCAGCCACCTCTGCCTGAGCCCTGGAGACAGACTGGGTGGGGAGAAATCCCCTCAGTGTCAGGTTCAGGGCACCTTGGACCTTCACAAAGTGGGTGTGCCCACTGAGAGTCTAAAGACTGACTCATTCAGAAGGGCATATGCTTTTGTAAAGTATGCCCTTCCCTACCTTCTGCCTGATTTCAGACTCAGATAGCTAACTACCTCTCTAATCATAAGAACCCCCCCAGATATAATGAGAACCTTCTCCATGGCCATTACTAGTACAAATAACCTATCAAATTCATTAGGCAAGGCACTCTCAAGTCTGTTTCCAAGGAAATTGTTTGAAATCTTCACCATTAACTTCAACCCAGGGAGAATTCTTTAATGTGTAGTAAAGAAAGTTAAGATAAATATATAATCACTTCTAGAAGCGTAACACTATCAGAAAAATGGAGCTAAGAAATTACACACTGTTGGAACAAGGAATTTACTAGTTTATGTACATCACTAGTTATAATTTTATTATAAAAACTGCACAGTGACTATAACTGTTAGTTAATCTGCTGTAATATTTGCTTTAGTAATCAGTAATCACTTTTGTACTCTTTTAGGTGGGCCAAAGCGTAAGCGCATAAAATATCAGAGAGATTTAAAAATACTTTTTCTCCTCACTCCATTTCAATAATCATGTATATATACTGCTTATATCATGCATACATGCTGATTTTTCCTTAACAACACTTAACAAATGAGAGGCAGCTGTGGACATTTTATCTTGGAAGTGAACGCTCTATGTATTCTGTAAAGTGTCTGCCACATATACCCAAATCCTCGCACACAGGAACTCTGAGGTCTGAATCCCACGTATGCTTGCAGGTTTGGGCAATTTAATACACAAGAATAGTGTGAAGAATCAGAAATGTGCTTAAGCTTCATATCTCAATCTAGCACCAACATTAAAAAATAAAAATCCTGTGCTATATTATTTGCATCCTATATACTACTAATTCAGTCACGATGGCTGAACCCCTCACATTTTAAGTTTGATTTTTTTTTCCAGGTTAAAAAAATAACTTAAATGAAAACTAAGCAGTAAATTGTTTTGTTTTCTAAAAAGAAAAAAAAAAATCAATTGTTAGTGTGCAGAAGGCACTCTATGGCAGATAAATGAAAGTTTACATCCTTGTGGAAGCCTTGGCAATTTGACTTTGGAGAAAGAATCCTTATGTTTTCCAGTGCCTCTTGTTAATATTTGTGTCAAAGTCCATAAAAGCGTTTTTACAATCCTGATATTCTCCAAAAGCCATAACATTAAAGAATGTTGATTTCATCAGTTGAATAGGCCCAAGAAGAAGTCCATAAAGACATGACTCCTATTCCTCATTATTAGTTGCCTCTGAAATATACATGTATAAAAAAAGGTTAATTCATGATCTATGCCATGTTAAGAGTTATTTTAAAAGTGCACTCAATGAAACAGACCCTTTAATACGGTATGTCCTGAAGAGGTTTTCTATTCCTGTGCTAATATCCAGGTCCCTCAAAGACCATGGACAGATGCTATATTTGTAGAACTAAAAAAGTTGAGCAGACAGTGCTCACTGTGACACTTAAAAAAATGGTGAAAGCACCACAAAAACATTCCTGATGAAATGGGAACTTCTCTTAGTGCTACCTATTATAGTGTCACATGCAATGTCTGTATGGTGCACCATAATGTGACTGAGGGCATGGGGATGTCTTTCTATCCCCCAGCATCCCACAGTGCCCTGCTCTCCACTCCTTTCCCCACTTCCTCTGCCCAAAGGAGGGAGGAAGAAAAGAGTAGGGTGGACAGTTGATGAATGCTGTCTGGGTGCTCAGCTGTCACCAAAGCTGGAGAGCAGAAATCCCTCCAGCCTCTCTGCCTCCGATTTCCTGATTCTGGCAAAGGAGCAAATTTTAGAACAAGTTTGCACACCTATGGCCGCATCCAGACAAGTGCAGACATCTGCCACACACCGCACATACAGGCATTCTCCATGCTGGTACGTTGCAGTGCAGGGTTGGTTTGTTTGGCTTTTTTTTTTAAATACCCACGCCAGAAAAAAGCAGGGTGGTGCACATGGTGGCAGTGTGCACCACCCAACGCTGGAGCCTGGCCAGCCAGAGCCACACTGGCTCCCAGCCAGGCTTCCCTCTTTAGCTGCAGCCCTGAGAGGCCCCCATGTAAGGCTGATAAGGCAAGCAGTTACTGGCCCCAGTGTCCCCTATTCCACCTGGGGTAACCTGATGCGTGCTAGAGCACGAGTGGCACAGGCTTTTCCCAGGGACAAGTAGCAGTGACATAAGGTGTGCTGCTGCCACTTGTCCCCAGGGAAACAAATGTCCGCACTCGTTTGGATGTGCCCTATGTTGCAAACCCCTACTCCAGAGCTTGAAGCATATATGAGTGACTAGCTCACAGCGCTTACCTGGGCTCCTGAGGCTATTCTCTATTAAACTGAAAGGAGATTGGGGGGGAAAAAATCCTGGACACTATCCAGTAAGTACTCAATAATGGCAGCACGCTGAAAACAGGAGAAATAGACTTGTCCTTTTCTGCATGATCAGATGTAGATTTCAAAGACGATTAACATTACCTAGAATGTTGTTTTGGGTGCTAGAATTTCCACTTACAATAAAATCATTACACAATCTCAGTTTTTGTTTTATTCACTTGTTTCACTGTAGGTCTCTCTGCCTCAAGAATGGAGGGAGAAACCCTGCCACAATAGTTCAAACAGCAACAAACAGAATGAAAGATACTACTCTGTAAAATCATGGCAGCCCCATTTTTATTCTAATTAATAGACTAAAAATGAAGCTAGCTCAGAAACCGAGACAAGACTTTGTTTCTACTGGACAAAGTAATATAGCCACACTAATGATTAGCCTGAGCAGCAGGTTTTCTACAGGACATTACATTGCACTGTGTTGACAAAACTTTAGGTGTCAAAGAAAGCACTGTGACTGGGGCGTATGTCCAAAATTGAAATCCTCAAAGCTCTGCTCAACTCTTGTCTAATGCTGGATAACCTAGGGTCTTTAAGAGCCTATGTTTCTACCACTAAAATTCTGTAATCAATTAAGAGTCAGCTGGTGGGCTTGGCCAACCCTATTAAAGGCTTGACACTGCTGAGCAGGTAGGGACCTGACTTGATCAAGATTCACAAACTAGGTATTTAGGGTTGTTGGCTGTAGCCGTTTTGGTCTAAGGACATAGGCAGACAAGGTTCTTTGGGTAGATGAGATATTTTTTATTAGACCAACAAATAGTTGGAAAAAAATGTTCTTTGCAAGTTTTCAGGCACAAACACCCTTCTTCAGGCATAGGGAGAGCCTGCTGGTGTCTTATGTGCTCTCCTGGGCAGAAAAGAAGCCAATATGCAAAATGGAGGTCTGTGAAAATGCAAGTGTGTGGCAGTGAGGATCAAACTAGGTATTTTGCACTTACATTGCCCGCATACCCTGATCTGCTGGATGTTGGGATGATATAGTTGAGGACAGTCCTACTTTGACCCAGGGGTTGTAGTAGATGACCTCCTGAGGTCCTAATTTTCTATGATTTTATGTTCTCACAGCACATGTACCACATTTCCCCCCTGCACAAAGTAATGCCAGAGGAAGTTGCGGAGTTCAAAGGTCAGCAGCACATGTAGTCAGATACAGGAGAAAAGAACCTACATTGCCTATCTCCCAAATGAGTGCTCTACCAGCAGACTTTAGGACATCATGGGGCAGAGCTTCCGTTCCAGCAAAGTTGTTTCATTTTGCATGGACTAGAGGGCAAATGAGCCAAACTCCATAGGCCAGTCTTTGGAGCACTCATCTAGAAAGGGGAATCCTGGGTTTCAGTGCTTGCTCCAATATTCGCTGGACAAAGGAGAGATGATGGTAACAGGGTCTCTCTCCCTTCCACTTTCCCATTTCTCCCCCCCAGCCCCCTGCCCTCCCCTACATGTTTTGAAATCAATGGGAGTTAGGTGTCTAAGTGGATTTCAGGGTTCCACTGGCCATCTATCTGCACCTTTAGGCTTCCCAGTATCCTTAACAATGTGGCACTAAGTGATTGGCTTTTAGAGTTATACCTCCATACAGTGTACAATGAAGGAAAATAAAAATCTGTAATGTAATTTTAAATTCTTCTGGAGCATGGGTGCTACCCTCCATCCCATACCTATTTGTTTTTAAACACTATTCAGCCCATGCTTTCTTCTGCCTACAACATGATTGCATTGGCTGTGGGATCAGCAATAGTCTCAGCACAGTTGCTGAGTTCAGTTGCTAATGAAAAAAGTGTGATGAATAAATCAGCCCAGAAAGGAAATCCCAGAGCAGTGAGACTGAGTATTAATTCATGAGAACTCGTCTGACAAATAGTAATTAGGGGATCAAGATCTTAACAAAGCAGCTAATCTACCAGGACTGTGCATTTAGAGCTTAGCATTTCTGACAAATAGGGAAAGATTTAGCTTTTATAGGAATGTGACAGAAATAACATCCAGATAGAAAGCACAACTTACCCTTTATCACTACCAAAAACTCCCCATGAAACACACCACTTAGGGTAAATATGCCTCCAATTATAATGAATGTTAAGAAGGTAGTGGCTGGAAACTGATAATGAAAAGTGTGTTCGTCAACAATGGTACAGCTTTTCAACTCCGAAAGGCTAGAACACATGGTCCTTCACTCCTCTGTCAACATACCTATCTCTGTTGCTGCTGTAACATCCAAAGCTTCTCCTGTTTCTTCTTCTTTTGTTTCATTCCCCTCACTTACTATCTCACTGTGCATCTCAGTTTCCACTTTTTCTCCCGTCTCACCTGGGAACAGTAACCATGGAAATCAAATTAGGATACATTTAAACAGTATTAAGTGCCCTAGCTCTTTTCTGCATGATTGATCTGGTTTTGTCAGGTCTTCTGTATCACTTATAAAAGTGGAAAAACACTGAAAACTGAATCAATCAATAGGTAAGAGATTCCAATGCAGCTTCCAGTTCTATAGGTACATGCATGGTCTATACCCATAAAATGTTGTACTTGTCCACACTCTGAACTGAAGCCTGATTTTATATTTAATAATTATAGATGTGTATTTTATGTTTAAACATTTTATTACAAACACCTGTAAATACATTGCTATCAATGTCACATATATCTGAACATAAGGTGACAGAACACATACAAAGAAAAACACTGAAGTCTAAATTTGCAAGAAGTCATCTCTTCTATCTGTAAGCTTGAATAAAATAAATGTAAAAACTCTGTAAATAAATGGAAGAGTCTATCCATCATATAATGCCCAGAAAGAAATGCATAAAAATGAATAGCATACTGAGTATTATTGTCAGGACAAAAATGTTAAAGAGTCTGAACAGAAAAAAGAAAACAAATCCTGAATGGAGATGGAAGCAAGCTATAAATAGTCAAAATAACTCCCATGTATGTCCTTCAGGCAACTAACCAGTTTTTCAATTGCAACCATGTTCTTCTATATGGTCATGTTATAGGAAACAAAGCTCCATTTCCAGTAACATGTCATTATGCTTATAAATTCAAATTAAATTGAGCAAACCAAGCCAGATGGGCAAGACTGTACACATTTTGAAGGTGAAAGAACTTCCAGTCACATAGCGTTTTATGTAAACAAACCTATATTCTAAAAGAGAAATCACCATTTCATGTAAGAAAAATTGTACATAAAAGAGAGAGTACCCATAAGCTTGGACTGTCTGTGAGAGAGATTCCCATCATTCAAGAGTTAACATATTCTAGGGACTACCTGTGCCATTAATAGGTTGGCCATACGTCCTGGATTGGCCAGGACAGTCCCGGATTTTAGAGGGTCTCAGCATCCTGGCCATTGGAGAAAAATTGAAGAAAAAGTCCTAGATTGGCAGGAACCCACCCTCATGTACAGCTCCCGAGTCAGGAGCCCAGCACATACAGGCAGGTCCACACCAATCCAGGACTTTTTCTTCAATTTTCGCCAGGGAGCCCACCCAATGGGCTGCTCCCTGGTACACACCCCACTGGGCTGTGAATGGAGTTGCTTGTGCAGTAGCGTTACCAGGTCTTAAATATGAAATTATTGTATTGGAAGCTCAAATGATTGTATTTTCTGAAGTACTATCATACAATGAAAAAGTATGCAAATAAGTATGTGAATAAGTCGTCTTCTTGCTTACTTTATACTGCTCACTGTGACTCACCAGTGAGAGAGAAATGGGTCAAAGTTGAAGCACTTTTTTATTTTGGGGCAACAAGTCATAAGTAAATGCTAACAGTAAACCCAGAAGAGTGACTTGGGGTTTTGCATATGCTGCATCAGTTAACTGCCTCAAAAGTTATCATTCATTTTGAACACTTTTAATATTATCTCTTATATGTTGTACAAGGGATGGCACTATTGTATAATATGATAATTATTGTACATCTGGCAACGCTGTTGTGCAGTAGAGGGGAGATGTGTGCTTGGGGAGCCGCGGGGTTGGGTGTGTTTGTGTGTGCACTGTGTGCTCCTGCCCAGCCCCACTCCTGTGTGTGTGCACACATGCATGCCATGCTGTTCTGCCCGCCCTGCTCCCAGAAGCCATGGGGTGGTGTGGGAGGGACCCCGTTCCATATTTCCTTTCCTCATCCTGGATTTCCCTCAAATTATTATGGTCACCCTAGCCACTAAGCTGTACTTGAAACAGAGATCTTTTAACCTCTCCCTTTATCAGTAGGCATGTACAGTGCACAAAACTGCTGGTGGCAGTTCCTCTCACTCATGTCCTTCACCTAGCAACTGACACCTATTCTATGAAATCTGATTCCTAATGCAAATGGAACTCCTTAGATCAGGAGTCAGCAGCATGTGGCCCGTGGAAGTGGTGAGCTCCATCTTGAGCTGCAGCCAGCCAGTGGGGGGTTTTCCTTGTGGCTGGACTGGAAGCACCAGCCCACCTCAGACCCAATCTGGGTTGATCCAGCCAGTAACTAGGTCAGGGTGAGCAGGACATCAGCCCCAGTGCCATATATGAAGGATCACCAGAATCCCACCATACCAGAGTCTTGACTATGCCAGGAGGGGTAGCCCTGTACTGCCCTGCCCAGCCATGGGAGCACCCCTGCCCCCAGCAGTGCATCTAAGTGGCAGGGGGCAAGTGGAATTGTGCTTCCCCCCCCTGCAGGGAGTTTCTCACAGCAAGGCCAGCCCTGCACCCAGCAGCATATCTGGGGAGGAGAATGAATGGGGCTGCATGGGATGTTGTGCCAGACTCCCTTTCTCTGCTGTTGCCCCAGCTCTCTGCACAGGGAAGACAGCATCAGCTACAGGAGCAGGCAGCAGTAGCAGAAACAGCCATGTTCCCCAGGCAGAGAAGTCCACCCTCATCCCATGAGCCACTCATCCCATGGGGCAGGTAAGACTCTCCACTTTCCCACCCATCCCCACTCTGTTCTACAGTGGCAGCATATCACCCCCCTGCCCTGCCCTGGGAGTTGAATGAACTTGCTGTGCCTCTGGATCCAGCCTATTGCTGCAAAACCTTGCTGACTGCTGCCTTAGACAATACAAGACTGCTCAGCCAAAACTGACTACCAATGTGCAATGTCTGTGAAAGGATTAAAACTTAAAGACTGTTGA